TTATGGTCACAGGCCACTCAGCAGACTGGGTCTGAACATCTGATTGCTACCCAATTACTTCCAGGAGGGACTGCTAGCATGCCAGCTGGCAAACACATTTTCCCTCCAATGTTGGTGGTTGTCTAATTTTCACTTCCCTTTATTCTCCATGGCTACTTGTACCCTACCTCACCCCTATAAAAATATAGGCATTTCCCTGAAAAGTGAGAAACTTTGCTGCACAAGAAAAAAAAAAAGAAGCTTTCCCTTTAATGTCAGTACTCTTTGGGGGCTAATTTCCAACTACCCCACCCAGCATCAAGCAAACTCTGGGGTAGAACCTTATGTGCATTCATGACCTACTCTCCACCTATATTCACGAGCACCGGGTGAGGAGCCAAAAGATCCAGGTTGAAGTGTAAGTCCTGCGACTTAGTAACCAGGTGACATGAGTTAGTGATTTCTCTGGGCCTCGGTTTTTTCAACTATGAAGACAATGTTTACAGCAGTGGTTCTCAACCTGTGGGTCGCGACCCCTTCGGAGGCCGAACGACCCTTTCACAGGGGTCGCCTAAGACCATCCTGCATATCAGATATTTACATTACGATTCATAACAGTAGCAACATTACAGTTATGAAGTAGCAACGAAAATAATTTTATGGTTGGGTCACAACATGAGGAACTGTGTTTAAAGGGCCAGAAGGTTGAGAACCACTGGTCTACAGTGTCACAATGGAGCTGCACACACCAGGCAAGACAGTGTATTTGAAAGTGCTTTGTAAACTGAAAAGTGCTATGAAGAGTCAGCAGTGATATTATTATGGTTGTCGTTTTTACAGCTGTTCGTGCTTCAATCACTATGCCTCTAATGTTTGTTGCCAGATCCAATGATAGATCAGTTAGAATTACATTTGGCTGCTAATTATAGAAAACACAAAATAAAAGTGACTTAAACAAGAGTTTATTTACCTCTCATGTATAAAATCTGTACAGAGCTGTTACGGTGCTCCCTAGTATCAAAGATCCAAGAGCCTTTTCCTTTTCGTTTCTTTTCTTTTCTTTTCTTTTTTTAAAGCTGTGAATCTTTTAAATATGTTTTTATTGATTTCTGAGAGAGGGAGGGAGAGGAAGAGAAACATTGATCGGCTGTCTTCCACATGCTCCCTACTGGGGATCGAGACTGTGACCTAGGCATGTGCCCTGACCGGGAATAGAACCAGTGACCTCCTGGTGCATGGGCCAGTGCTCAACCACTGAGCCACACCAACTGGGCTGTCCTTTTTAACCTGTTGCTTTTCCATGGGTAACTTCCATTGCTAATGTCATCTCATGGTCCTAAAAGGCTGCAGGAAATTCAGCCATTACATCACAATGTAATCAATGGAAAAGGAGAGGTGAAGATGAACATGGCCCCTCCCTTTGAAGTTGCAGTTCTACTAATACCCACTGGCCATATAATAGCTGCAAGGGAGCCTGGGAAATATGGTTTTTATTTCTAGTGACCATGTGCCCACCTAAAATGGAGGGGTACTATTACAAAGAAGGGGAGATCACAAATGGTCATTTCTCCACCATCTTTTTGATCTACCGGCCAGTAGCATTTCACCACTTTCTGTGGAAACATTTTTTTCTCTTTACTACTGAGAAGAAAACCACACTGCCCTGGTCTCCCTCCTCTCTTCCATCCTTAAACGTTGGAATGACTCGGGCAGTCCCGGGCACCTCTTTCTTTTCCATCCATACTCTCCTCCTAAGTAATGTCATTTAGTCCCAAGGATTTAAATACCAATTCAGATGCCAATGAAGTCTAAATGCAGCCCTGACATTTCCCCTTGATTCCACTATCATATATGCAGCTGCTATTTGACAACCCCACTTGGATGTCTAATAGGTATCTCAACTTTAACTCTAGATCTCCACCCACAAACTTGCTCCTCCCCAAGACTTTCCCATCATAGTAAATGCCACCAATGACTTAAGCCAGGAAATTCTGGAGTTAATCTTAATTCCTCACTTTCCCACACTCCCTACAACCAAACCATCTGGAAGCCATAGTGGCTGTCTTCAGGACATAACTCAAGGTCACCCATTTTCTTTCAAATCCACCACTCTACTCTCATCCAGAGCACCATCAGCTCTCACCTGGACCTTCAAATAGCCCCCAACTGTGTCTCTCTGCTTCCATTCCTGCTCTCCTATTATCTGTCTTCACACAACGATCACAGTGGTATTTTAAGTAAGAAAATCAGGACAAAGGTGGTCGATTCAACAGAGCTACTTTGCTCCCTCTTGAAACCCTTCTAAGAGGACTGTAAAGGGATTTTTTAAAGTTTTCTCTAAAGAACTTTAAAAAGAAAACAGGAGAGGAAATAATAGTAAGAAAAATCCAGAAGCTAGAAAACAGAACAAATACCAACTGACTTAGCAAACCCAAAAAGCTGAAACCTAACCCAGAGAAAGTAAAAAAGGAACATGATTTATACCATCAACTCCCCCGAAGTCAAGAATTGATGGTACCAGGTATCTCTGGAAATGGAGGTAAAAACAGGGAACTGCTCAAATTCAGTTTAAGAAGAGACAGCACCCCAAGTCATCTCCTTGACTCCATGTAGTGGGGGCTGCCCCTCCCCAGCACAGCCAGAAGCTGGGGTGCTTTCTGTGGGAGAGGGTAACACTGGTGTGTCTGGGCCGGGGACACCAGGTCCAGTTGAGCACAAGAGTACTGCGCAGCAAACAGGAGAGCTGGCAGAAGTTTCCACACTGAATGTTGAGACGTCCCTGACCATTTTCTCCCACTTACTTCCCAGTATGCTGGTGGCCACAGTTCTTCCCAGCAAGAAACTGGGGGAACACTTTCCACGGAATCTGACCTGGCCAGGAAGAAACACCCTAACAAAACCCACTCCCTAAAGTAAGAGCCCCACTGTATGGCCACAGGCGGCCTCCAACACCTCCCACCTGGGCCGAGCCCCCTGGCTCTCAGTGCCCCTCTGATGTGGAAGCAATAGCAGCTTCCCAGGCAAGGCCCTAACACCAGAGGCCAAGACTAGAACAAACCAAGAGAAAAGCACCCGGAGGAAACAGCAGGGCGGGAGATGAACCGCATCCTGAAGCCATTGCTTTCCTCGGGTAAATCAGCGGCGGTCTGGCTACCCGGAAATAAGGACAGGCTATTCCCCCGCTGCACTCGCCTTCCTGCCACTGAACACACCGAGTTCTTCCCCACTTCAGCACCCTCCAAACGGGGTTCCCTTCTCTAGGTCTTCACATGCTGGCTCCTACTGTCACCTCAGAGAGGCCTTCAGTGAGCACCCACTCTGAAGAAGTCCCCACCAGCCACTGAACACAGCCAGCTGGTTCTGTCATTGCATACGGTAAGTGTCTCAGGCATCGCGAGCTGGATGTGCTGGATGTGGTCTCTGCCGCCACCACTCACCTGTCACAGCCGAAGGCAGGCATCGGCAGGACGTGCACCGGCAACGGTGGCAATGTTCCAGTAAAACTCTATTTATGGACACAAACTCGGACTTCCTATCATTTTCACAAGTCACGAATGTTATTCTCCTTTTGATATTTTTTTCATTTTTAAAAACATAAAAACCATTCTTAGCTTCCAGGGATTAAAAAAAAAAAAAAAAAAAAGGCAGCAGGCCGGATATGGCCAAACTGTTTTGATACATCATCCTGTTTTATTTTCATTAAAGCACTAATCACTTCCTAGTATTTTCTTGTTTATTTGCCTTTTTTATGGTTTGTTTATTATCAGTCTCCCCTACTAGAATGGACGTCATGAGAGCAAGGGTCCTTGCATTCTCCCCTGGCACCCTCACCACCATGCATAGTGCTTGGCATACAGTAGGTGCTCAGTGTTTACTGAGTGCTGGAATGATTGCTGTGCCACACCAGCCCCCAGCCCCTCCCACCGCAATCCCTCCTGGAAAGGCCTAAAAGGACAAGTCTTGGGGGACAATAATGGCACTCCCACCCTACTCTTTCCCTACCCTTTCTGCTTTCCTGCTCCTTCCCCCTTTCCTGTGAACCAAGAAAACTCAGTCTAAGGCTGCCTCTTCTCAGTGCTCTCAGACCTATAGTTAGAGAATAGTGTCAGGTCACTGATCCAGCCCACACAGGGGGAGCTGCAGGTTAATGGGGCTTCAAAATTATCCCCTTCGAATTCCAAGCTAGTGAAGGGGACCATAGCACAGCAGCTAATATGCGTTCGGTGCTCTGAGGAACGCCAACCGACTGCATATTCACAAGCATTGGGACTTTTCAGCATCATGTAATGGGTGTTGTGGTTACAAAAAAGGAGCCATCTCTAACCAATTTCCGGAGGAAAAAAAGATTCCTTGCTTCTTGGATAGGAGAATTCAGATCCCCAAAGTGGAGACAGGGGCACGAGACTCTCACCATTGCTGGCATAGTCCTTTAAGCCCACCCAACCCCCTGGTTGAACATATGCACGAGCCACCAGACGCAAACGATCTGGTTTCCCACGGGGGAGGAGGGTGCTGACAAGCACACACAGGTGCTCCCACGACCTGCCCCATGTGAGTTAGCGAAGTGGCACTTGGGCTTACCAATCACACTGCTCTTTGTGAGCAAAGCTCGTCGTGTGGGCCTGCTCACTGCTGGCCAAGGGCGACAGTGAAGTTCCTCAGATGCCTAGCCAGGACCACATCCTACCAGCCCTGCCAGAACCTCCTTTTGACCACGTCCAGATGCAGTGGCTTTTTGTGACCCTCTTTTTCATACCTAATGCTGTGCTTCTAAAAATGCAGAGCTCACAGAAACTAAGGAATTTACATGACCCAGGTGGCAGCCAAGGCACTTGTCTCTGACCCCCATGCTTGCAAGCACCCCCAAGTACTTTCCATTCTCTCGGGAGGGGCTGGGCTGGCTGGGCAGGCTTCCGCTGGCCTGGTTCAGTTATGATGCCTCTGTGGCCCCTGCTGCTTCTGTTGCTCTATTGACAGATGACTTTCATTTCTATTAAAAAAAAGATCAGTCGACAAAAGCCTTTGTGTACATGGTAGACTTTACTGAAGATGTGGAGAGACAAAGGGGGTTTTCATAGCAAAAATACAAAAACTTGGTTGAATATTAGACATCCTTGAGCTTAAAAAGACCCTTAGCCATTTCCACCAACTGGTCTCCAGCCGCCTACAAAGGCACTTGACCCTTCCCCCATCCTTTCTCGGGAAGTAAACAAACAAATTCCAGACAGTTTCCTACTCAGAGTGACTTAGCCAACATTTGTTCTGTCCTCCCTTTTACCACCCTCCACTGGGGCCCTGGGGCCAGCTCTCTCAGCCTTGAGGCCTCCTCCCGCCTGTTTTGCCTAGAGCTTGTTCTGTTCTCTAAAAATGTGTGTGTGTGTGTGTGTGTGGAGAGCAGTTAGGTGAAATGTGTATGTGTGTACAGGTGAAATTTTTATGCCCCCAAGTCAGTGATTTTCAACCATGTGCCGCAATAATTTTTAAAACATACAACATCTGACTATTTAGTCAGGAGCGCTGACCTCTTTTCCTTTAGGTTGTCAAATAAAAAAATGACAACAGGCAACACAATAGCCATCCGGTATGAATTAATCAAAATTATACCTATTCTTTTTTTGTCATATCAGCAAAAAATATATTTTTGGTGTGCCGCAGAATTTTAGTAGTCCACTTATGATGCTTCAAGGTAGAAAAGGCTGAAAATATCTGCCCTGAGTTATCAGCCTTCTCAGCGCTCACTGGGACTAGGTCCCAAGCCCCAGGTCACACAGCTTGTAAGAAGGCAATTCAGCCCCAGGTCGGCCTGGCTCCAGGGTTAAGGTCTTATACCCCTGCTTACAAGGGGTGTCAGCCCTCCTCCCGCTGGCCCTGTCACCACCCTGCCCACTGTCCTCTGAACCCTACAGTCAGGGGAAGGGAGCAGATATACGTAGTACGCAGGAGGCCTGGGCCAGGCCACACCATGGAAGCCCCTTGTTCCCCACACCCCTGGCTTTAGTCCTGAAAGGGCAGAGCCTGTGTCCGCACACACGCTCACGTCACACTTGTGCACACGCACCTTAAACTCCTTCTGCATGTGTCTCTCTCGTTAGATCATCCTGCTCTATGGAAGCTCATTGGTGGCCACTGGGTCACAGGCTGCTCTGTCATCATTAGACCCCACAAGACAGGCAGTGTTTCCACACCCCCCTCTCCATGACAGTGCCTGCTAGCTCTAGATTGTGTCAGGAGGGCAAGGGCTCCACCCCAGAGGCCTCAGGAAGCCTACACACCTCCCGGCCCCAGTGGCATGGATCCCACTGCCTGTACACGTGCGGTCACTCAAGCCCCGGCAAGGCTCCAGAAGTGGTGTGTGGTCTACAGGAAGTAACAGACCAGGAAGGCTATAGTCTCCACCCACAGAAGCTGAGTCTAGGAGGAAAGACAGACTCAGAAGCATGTGCTTCTCGGTAGTCCAGGAGGCTCCAGTGCTGTTTTCTAAAATTCAGATAAAAAAGACTGACTCCTTTGCTTAAAACACTTCCAGGACCCCCTTCCCATGGAGTAAAATCGAGTGAGGGGGGTTGCCCTGCGGAGGAGAGAGCTGGATCACCTCCCCATCTGGACGGCTGGCCTGGGCAGGATGTAGCCCTGCAGCCTCCGCACCTCAGCCCCTGCGTCTCTCCCTCTGTGCCCCCGACACACCCTCCTCTCTGGCCTGGAACACACCAGGCACTGTCCTGCCCTTGCCCTCCCCGGCTTGAGAGGCGCCCCAGTGTCCCACCATCAGGACACTCTCCTTCTTCCACAGCATGTATCACAGTTTACATCTTGTTTCCTTGCTCACTTTTTCTTCCTCAGTAAAATTTAGTAAGTGCCCCAAGGACCTCATCTGTCTTGGTCACCAACACATTCCCAGGGCCTGGCACAGAGCAGAATTTAAATAAATATGTGCTAAGTGAGTGAATAAATGTATGAATATTGCAAGAAAGTTAGTTCCCATTCTGTGCCCCCTTCCTCACCTTCAAAACGGACAGCACAGTATCTATGGGGTGAGGGTTAGCAGAGATGACAGAAGTCCCTGTTTGCTGGTACATGTAACAGGTGCTCTAACGGGTCAGGACTGGAATGCCTTTGTCACACAAGAGGAGCGGCAAACCCTTCTGCATGAGGAGGTGACTCCAGACTGGCTCTTGAAGCATGAGTAACTGTTTACCAGGGGAGGCAGAGGCCCGGGAACATGTGGGGCCACAGCCAAGAGGCAGAGCCATGCTGGGAGGAGTGATTCAGAGAGCCCAGGGCTGTCAGGGAGGCTGCAGGAGAGGTGGGGCCAGGTCGGGTCTCCTGTCTGCCCCAAGGGTCACAGTCTGTCCTACAACAGTGGGACAGGCTCTACAGCTCATCTGTGTTCCCCACGGCTGACTGGCTTGGGATTTAGTTATAAGTAGATGAATCTTCATTAGGCTACTGAGGTTAGTTCCTAAAGAAAAGGGAAAACTCACAGCCAACACACCTGCAGATTCCTTCCCACTCACAACACAAAAAGATCATCCCCTTCACTTGTGCATCTGTCCCACGGTCAACAGGCTGCTCATACATCCTTCGTGAGCATTTGTCTGAAAGTTCACAGTCAGCTAGCAGGGCGGGCACCATGAGTTCCCTTATCCAAACAGCCCCAGGAAAAGGGAAGGGCAGAGGGGAAAGGGCAAGGCTGTGCTGGTGACTGGGGGAGGGACGGGTAGCCTTACACAAACACAAACCCTCACAGACATGCGGGAACATGCCAGTCCGAGCCAGGGACTCGGGGACCCCACGCCCCGCCTCGGCCCCCATGAACAGTAGTGTTAAGCAACTTGGTATGAGATCTAGCAGTAGTCCGTGTGTTTGTTAAAGCTTTTTAATAAAGAGAGGGGTTCTGGCCTGTGGAGGACAGCGGGAGACTAGGTAACCCACCTGGAAGGAGGGCCAGCCTTCCTCCTGCTTGTGTATCCAAACACTGCCCATCCGTTAAGGGGCAGCCCCTCTCCACCGGAGCCCCTTCCCTGACTCATCCACACCCTGCTCACTCCCGTCTCTGAAGTACAGTTCACACACACATATCTCTTCCCCATCCGATCCCCAAGTCTCTTATTCTTTCACCAGCCGGTAGATGTGGTGTTGAGCCCCATGCTCGCTGGCTGACACCTCAAAGACATGCAATGCACAGCAAAGTCTGAGGATCAGATTAGCCAGTTTTCCAATCTGACTCCTTTGACCGAAAGCTCCTACTATTAACAAAGTATATGTATCAAACACATTTATGTGCTTGACACTATGCTAGGCTCTCTACATAAATGAGGTAGGTACTGTTATTAGACCCATTTTACAGTTGGGGAAACTGAGGCACAGTGAAATTAAGGAATTTTTCCCAAGTCACAGGGCTAGGCAATAGCTAAACGCCAGGATTCCAATCCTAGTGGTCTGACGCTTGCTCCTAACCACCACTCTGTACCCCTCCTAGACACTGTCTTCCTCATTTGTGTAATAATATATATTATCTTCCCGAGTGAGCGTGGGGCACAGTAAACACCTGTAGGCAAGTTGAATCCCAGGCACCTGGGATTGTGGTTCCCAATGGGGATAATACCAAGGAGCCACTAGATGGCAGCAAAGAGCAAGGCCTAAGCCTCCCTGAGGGAGGTGAGTGATAAGCTAATTATCATAACATTTGTTTAGAGCAGGGGTCTTCAAACTTTTTAAACGGGGCCAGTTCACTGCCCCTCAGACCGTTGGAGGGCCAGACTATAGTTTAAAAAAAAACTATGAACAAATTCCTATGCACACTGCACGTATCTTATTTTGAAGTAAAAAAACAAAACGGGAACAAATACAATATTTGTATTTGCATGTGGCCCGTGGCCGTAGTTTGAGGACCCCTGGTTTAGAGCATCTTGCACCAGGCACTTTGTAGACATTCTCTCTCCTCCTCCCTAAGGCCTTCTAATGTGGGTGCTATTGCCTGCCCCCTTTACAGGCTCAGAAAGGTGGAGACATTTGCCCAAAGTCGGGCAGCTAGGAATACTAGGATGAAGCCAGGACTGCTGAAACCCAAAGCTGGCCTGTTAGCAGGAAATAAACAGGTGGTTGCCTCTAGATGCAGCGTTGGTTCCACACCCTTCTCCAGCCCCGAGGAGCACAGAAACTACAGTTTGGGGAGGGAGTGGATGCCTGGGCTGGCCCTGAGGTGGTCACCACCCAACAGGCATCTTGGCTGGGAGGGAGGTAAGACTCACCAGTCAGAACTGGATGGTCTCAGAGACCACTGGGTCACCACAAACCTCTGAACAACTTTCTTGGCCTTCGCCACCAAAAAGGTGCTGCAAGACGCCAGCCTCTGCACAACTCGGCAGCCTGCTCCAGCACTGCCCCTCCTGTCCTCCATCTCGGGCTCCTCTGATCTAGAGCCAGTCCCCTCAACAAGCCAGCAGGGCCATGGGATCCACAACCACCAGAGATGAATAAAAATAAACGGCTCAGTGTCCCCTTCCAGCAACTCAGTCACCTCCACACCTAAAACCCACGCCTGGGTTGGACGGGCCTCCGTAAGCTGCCCCGCGGCAGTGGCAGCAGAGGTGCCGGGCGGAGCAGCTGCAGCATGCTCAGGGAGCCGGGTGCACACCTGAGCACGCACAGAATGGGAGCCACGCGCCTATCCTCAGGCCTCCCAGCGTGGCCAGCAGCAGAGTGCAGGGGCTCCAGGCAGCAGAGGGACCATCCAGCTTGACCTTCAGCGTCTGGCGACATTCCTGGCCGAGTCCACTGGAGCAATGGCTTCAGAACTGCCCATGATGAATCTCTGGGGCTGCTTCCGGCCCGCTTCCCAGACTGCCCCCCTTCTCCCACAGTCCTTCCCAGGGCTCCTACAGCCAGGTGGGGTCCTCTGAAAATACACATCTTGGGTTTATTTGGGGTTGGGCACTGCAGGTTGAGGCACAGTTTGTTCCTGGGTAGGAAGGGTAAGCTTTCTTGGCACTTCAAGGGGCTGTCCCCGCAGGTCCCCACCCCATGTCCCTACACACACACACACACCTCTTCCCCCGTCCCTGCTCCCCAAGTCTCTTATTCTTTCACCAGCCGGTAGATGTGGTGTTGAGCCCCATGCTCGCTGGCTGACACCTCGAAGACATATGCAATGCACAGCAAAGTCTCCTGTGTGTCTCTGTTGGTGACCACCTGTGGGTGAGAGAAAAGGTGAGGGGTTAAGGCCCCAGAAGAGGGCATGCCTTTTGCTGGGCCCTCTGCCCCACCCCTGCAGCGCCCCCAGCCCTGGCCCCCACACCTGCAGGATGGTGAAGTTCTCCAGCACGCTGTTCATCATGTACTTCTCGGGCAAGTGCTTCAGCTTGTGGATGAAGTTGATCATGTACTCACAGAGCGGGGACCGGTGGATGCGGTAGGAGTAGTGGCCGTTTTCGTAGCGGGCATACTCTGTCTGCAGGACCAGGGGACAGCAGGGCTTAGGTTCTCTTTTGACCACATTCAGCCCAGGCCCAGCTGCTTGGGGAAGCTCCAGGACCCACTGACTCTTAAGTGGAATAAAAGGCAGAAGGCCTAGAGGCTCTTGAGATCAGAGCCTTCCTCCTCCCTCAGTAACAGGGGTTCGAGTGGCAGCCAAGGGACCATCCACCTTGAGCTCCGATGCTCAGAAGGTGAGCATTGGAGGAGGAGCGCTTCAAGACTGAGTAGTGGCAACAGGCAAGACAGGATAAATGACGACTCAGTCCTGACCACACACTAAAATAACATGGGGAAGGGTGCACAGGAATCCTTGTGGCCATGGAACTGTCATGTATTTGTACACACACACACACACACACACACACACACACACACACACAAATACCGATGAAATCTGAATCAGATTGTAAGTGACATCAATGTCAATTCCTGGTTGCCAATAGTTATGCAAAATACTGCCCTCAGGGGAACTGGGTGAAGGGTACATGGAATTACAATTGCTTGAGTGTCCACAATTATTTCAAAACAAAAATTTAAATTTAAAATAAATAACTTGAAGTGCTTCTTACAAACAGCTACGACCCAGATTCCACCCTGGAGGTTCTGGGGTAAGTATTGTGAAGTGGGGCTTATGCACTGGTAAGTTTCAAAAGCTCCAGTGATCTAAGTGCAGCCAGGGGTGAGAACACTGGGAAGGGAGTGCCTCCTCCCTAGTACCAGCCCGGCATCTGGTGGTGATTAACATGAGGAGGGTTATCAATAACTAAGAGACAGTGAGGGTAAGGCTTCATTAGTTCAGACAAATTTGGGGAAAGCAGAGGGCATGAATGAAGACCAACCTGAAACAGCTTAAAGGTCTGGTTTAACAGTGCACAGGGTACTCCTACCTCCACTTTCTCTACCACCTGCTTGCCGAACGAGCAGACCTTGGTGGAGCAGGTGATTATCATGTTCTCGGGACTCTCGTACTGGCTGGAGACCCCGTAGAAGGAGCTGCCTTCGTCCTCCATGTTGGTGTTGAGGTCTGCCTGAAGGCATGGGAAAGCCAAGAAGCAGACAGGTAAGTCAGCAGGCACATGATCGGGGCGGAGACATGGAGACCTCTGGGGCCCCAGTCCAGGTTCTAGGGCCAGGAAGCAACCAGGAGGCTTTAAATGAAACCTGGACAGTAGGAGGCTGGAACATTTCCATCTTTCTTCACTTGCAGGCCTGGCATAAGATCAGGTTCTGCTGCCTAAACAACAGAGAAACACACTGGAACCTGCATTAGTTACAAGGCAGAAACATGGACCATGCCTGAAAAAGAACCAGCAGGAAGCTCAAGTGCCTGGGAAAGGCAGGCACCTGAACGGGGGGGGGGGGGGGGGGGGGCGGGGGGGGGGGGGGGGGGGTTGGGGGGGGAGCACGAGGGGTCAGGGGGGCATCCGAGGGTCCAGGCCAGGACATAAAATACTATGCCCCTAATGGTTTCTTTTAAATCAACTCACTCTTATTCCCTAATTCCATTCTTAGCAATATAGTCATGAAATCAGGGATTCTATTTTTCTAATATACATGAAAATAATTGCATATTTTTTAAAAATGCTTATTCATATGCCACCTAAAAGAACACTATGCAACCCTCTTAGGCTCTTCAGACTATACAAAGGTAGCACTGCCCCAGCACCCCCTAAGTGATCTGGACATGCCCCTCATCGCCCCCTGCTGGCAAGATCTGTTCAGTTGGCCTTGCCCCTTCCAGATGGTAAGCACCCTGGAGGCAAGAACTAAGATCTCCCCAGGGCTAGGGCAGAGGATGGGCCTTCAATAAGTCACGTGTGACTGTTCCACCCCTCGCCTCTGGGTGAGAAGAGAGAGGTCCCTTCATCCCAAGGAGGGACCTGTAATCTCCTGCTTATGAGGGGAGTCCTCTCAGCTCCAGCTCTGCCCCCAATTCAAATACACACCAGGTCTTCTGCACCAACTCCTCACTCACCTGACCTTCCAACCAGTCACCGTTTATCCTGCCCAGCCCAGCATAGGGAGAGCAGTGGGAGACCAGAGAGGCCGAAACACTGTCTCTGCTCTCAAAGAACTGAAACTTGTGGGAGAGCAAGTAGAATAAGTGAGCTGGTTGTCTAGGGTAGGATGAAGAGAAGAGGGCTGGGGAAGACAGAGAGCCCACAAGTAACAATCCAACGTCTGCCCCAGAACCTGCCCCGTGGTGACGCTGCAGGCCCAGGAGATGCCGGCCAAGGATGCAGACAATGCACCCAGATGCCCCACCTCATCCTCAGTGCCCCTTCCTTCCGATTACAACCCCACCCTTCTCCTTTCCACCCCTGTATCCCCCTACTCTAAGCACCTCCCCAAACAAGCTTGCTTTTCTACTTTCTCAGCCTAAGAAGAAAGCTGCCCGCCTACATTACTCTGAAAGGTGCCCCCCACCACTAGCCTTCCTGCCCTCAGAATGCCCCTTGTTCCCCATCCTCCACCCTATTCATAGCTGTGGTGCGGGTGGGCAGCTCACAGGCCATGCCTGGAACAGGTGTGGGGGATCGGGTGACTGACAGATGAGCCGGACAGCCGTAGCCTGGGTATGGGGGCTGGAGGGGCTCAGATTCATTGTCATGTGCTGGTATGTGCCTGGGAGAAATGTCAGGGCCCAGAAGGGAACAGCAGCCTGTCCGGGGTACTCTCCTCCCTTCATGGCCTCAGCTCAGCTCTGCCCAGCATTTTCAATTTGCAGACAGACATTAATGGCCATCAGTGTCCATGAGTCCCCTCTCTCCCCACCCCAAGAACAGAGGTGGCCTCTGCTAGTCTCATATGTTCTGGGGAGGAGGGGAGGTCTCAGCTTCTCAGTCCTGCTCCAAAACCCACCGTATGAATCCAACAAAGCACAGCTCACATCTCAACCCCTCCTGCACCCACATGCCCCTCCCAGCCAGGAACAATTTGTCCTGGCAGCCCACTGAGCTACTGCTGCGCTACTGCTGCCACTCCTTCCCTAAGAGCAGGACTTTCAGTGGGAGGTGGGTTGGGGATATCAAAGTCCTCCTCTCACTCCAGCGGGGCTCTGATCTCCCCAGCATGCCTGCACAAGGCCTGGGCGGAGCGGAATACTGCCAGGCAGGAGAAGAAAGGAAGACTTCAGGAGAGGGGCACTGTTTCGTTGCCTTTGTCATTGCCCGTGCCCAGTCTCACACCAGCTGATGGCTGGGCAGGAAGTGGGCAGGCCAGGGCCCAGGAGATGAGGGTCCAGATATCTGCAGACGCCAAGCTGCCTGTGAGGACCCGATGGTTGACCAAAAGTCTCTTGGTTTGTGAACAGGAGCAATTCTTTCCCCACATTTGCACTTCCCTGGTGCCTCTACCTTCCCCAAGCAAGAGGAAGGGGAAAGAGGAGATGCCCACCAAGATGTAGTGGCCACTGACATGCCCCCATCTCTGATTTCTCCTGTCCTCATGCTGCCCAAGCCTCTGGCCTTCAGAGATAGCCCGGCTCAGGCACAGGGCTGGAGGAGGCAGGCATACTGCCTCCCTTCACTGCTGGCTGACATTTCACCTCCCACCACTCCCCTCCCTCCAGGTCCTCAGAGACACAGCCTGGAGCAAGCCCTCAAAATTGAACTGCTCGTTTTTCAGATGGAGAAACAGAGGCCCAGAGAAGATGAGATTTGCTTGTTGAGGCCCAGTGTTGCCCGCCTTGTGCCCCCGACACTCTGGAAGGGACATGCTTGACCACCACGCTCCCCGGCACAGCAGTTGCTGCCCCAGGACCCTGAGATCCATTCTGGATTCTACCACTCGGAATGTGAGTTCCTGGAAGACAAGAGCCACGTTGGGTCCGCATAGCGCAGGTGCTGTGCACAGCCCACGGCCAGGGCACAAAGGCCTAATCATGTGTCCTGGGCGCCCACGCTTCCCTGCCTTCCCTTCTCCCATCAATCTCACCTCCAACCTCCTCACAGAGGCAGAAAGGAGAGGTCATGGGCCACGAGCAAGGCTACAAAACAGACAGGACAAGGGATGTCTGGGCTCTAGAAATCCAAGAAGCCCCACTGCCCAGCGCTACACTGAGGGCGCAGGGCTAAGACTGCTCTCTCTGTGCCGCCATAAGCCGTGTTCCACAGGGTCAGGGGATCCTTTTCCAGGCAATCAGAGCCTTCTCTGACAGCAGGGGAGCACCAGGACCCCAAATGGAGGGCACCCCGGGTACTGGGCAAGGTTTAGTGTAATGGTTCTGAGCCCACACCCGGGAGCCAGACTGCCTGGGTCTGAATCCTGGTCCTGTCACTATGAACCTGGTGATGCTGGCAAGCCACTTCACCTCTGTGCCTGCTTCCCCGAGAGGGAATGTGACTGTCAATCTGACCTACGTTTGGAGGTGTGGCAAGGATAAAACATGCTGATGTAGGTGATGGGATGCAAGCAGTGCCCGAGGTCATCTTTCACCGACCACCCCGACGCACCTCGCTGCGTGTATGTAACAAGACCCAGAAAGAGCTCATCCTGGCCGGGTAGCTCAAGGCCAGGCCCCTACTTGCTCCACGCCTCAGTCTCCCCCCATGTGTGGAACCGGAGGCCTAGGGTGGTCCTCATCTAGATGGTGGATAGAAGAACGCAGAATATTATCTCCAACTAAAAGAAGGCAGGAGCCAGTGAAAAGTGCCCCAAATATGCCACCTCCCCACTCCAGGGTCGTGTTCCCATAAATGCCTCCTGCCAACCAGGCCTCCCTTCTGACCCTCAGGGTAGTTGAGGCAGTGCTGAGGAACAGCCGCAAATCACGTCACCCAAGCCCCTTCTCCGAGTCAAGGCGAAGCCTGGACAGGTTTGGGGGAAGGTGGACTCAAGATGGTGTAGGCTTCTCAAAGAGAAGGCCAGAAGCCTCCCTAGGCCTGCAACAGGAAGGGAGCTGCCACGCTGGCAGTAGAGGAACAATGCTGTTCGGTTGCCCAGAGCAGAGCTTCCTGGTTCCAATTCCCAAGGTCAGGGCAGGAAGGGAGAGTAGGGAGAAGTAAGATTGTTTGAGCCCTTTCTGGCTGAGGTCCTAAAGAGATTGCTGCCCCTCACTGGGCCTATGTTATAGCAGTCTCCCACTTGTTTCCATTCTGGACAGTTGATTTATCCAACTAAGCACAACTCTGGCCATTGCCATGCCCTGTTCAAACACTTCAGTGATTCCTCATTACCTAAAGAGAAGGGACAGCAAATACACAGCAAACATACTACTGTCTTCCCCCGCTACAGCCGTGACAGGCATTACTAGTCAATCCGGCACTCTCTCCACATCCTTCTCAAGGCAGCCTTCCAACAATGATGGCCAGTCCACTGCAGGGACACTCAGGTTAAACCCACTTTTCTGGACACCCAGTTAAAATGGGTTACGAACCACACAAGTTCATTTTTCCCCTTCCAGACAGCCAACTAGAATGATAGTGAAGAACTTTTAAAAATGTGCTGCACCACAGAGGTGAAGAAAACAGAGAAGAAGCCATAATGACAGAGAGTTCAACAAATCTGAGGAGACTGAAGGCGGACCAGAACTAGAATGGTTTCTGTGAGGCAAAGGAAGCAAAAGGAATTACAACCTAAAAGTGCTCTCTGAGGGGTGACAGACAAGAAGTGAACTGATGTACTTCAGAGAAGCCCTGAGTGGCTTGACACTAGAGGGACCAGGATAAAACACGAGGAGCTGATTGAAGACTGTATATAGGGTGAACATAGGGTGGGCAGGACTCCAGGAGGACCTCTCCCACCCATTGGCAGAGGACGAAAGGGTAATAAGCTTCAGAAATTAAACAGGGCTCAGATGGGGGGGGGGGGGAGGAGATAAGAATGAAAACAGAAAAATAAAGTGAAACCTGCATAAGAAAGGGTAGGGTCCCCTAGCCCTCTACCCTGCCCCCCTTCCTAGAATTCTACTGATCAAGTATATTCCTTCCCAGGGTGGATGGAGAATTAAAGGAATCTCCTCTGGAGAAACTGAACCACCTCAGAGAAAAAAAGTCCAGTGAACACACTGACATTAACTGGTTTTCCC